TGACGTGAAGATGTAGACAAACCAACCACAGTTTTTCCTTTCCCTTACTTTTTGGAGTGAGAAGCGAAAAAAGACGCAAAATCCAAAAATGTCACATGCACAATTGGAGGGGTGGCGAGGGTGGGTCTGGAATAGGGTCGGGGTGGAATGGAGAGGGCTGGGGAAAAGAGAGACACGAGTCTTGCCTCCTAATAGGCCAGGAACTCGACTCACGTGACTCCCGGAGGAAAACTTGATTAGCGACAAGTCCGCACCGTAACCAGCAATCCATACTTATGATTATACCTGTTGGTTTAAGCCCCAACAGAATGATCAGGCGATGAAAACAAATTTTCCTGATAAACCACCACATTCTCAAAAACATTAAATCTAAAGGAATGCATGCCTAATAGAACCTTTCTGGTATGCTTTGATGGTATTTCAGGCGGTTTGTTCGAGACTTAGTTCGTATTTTAGCGAGACTCATCTGAGCCATAATACCCTTGGGGGGAGCAAAAAAGTCTGCTGTTTGCTGCTGAAGGGTAACAAAAAAAGTACGATTAAGTATTTACTGTACCCAAATTCGGTCATCCGGCGACATCATATCAGTGATTTGATATTGCAGGTGATCAAGACAGTAGACACAGCTTTTGAATTGCGACTATGGATAGGGCACCGGGTAAAACAGTAACTCAAGATAGTATGTCCGCCAATTGACTATATTCTCATCACCCGTCTGCTTAAGAGCTCAGTAATATTGTTAGAAGAAATCAGGTATTGGTCAACCAGGCTCCTCTTAAAACAGCACAGTGACAAAAGATCATGCCTGCAACCAAGGCCGGATGATCCATGAACCTCTTCCGGGGTAAATTGTGAATGGTTATTTTAAGCACTTAGCTGCCTGACTGATGAAACGTTGTCACACCTGTTGGTTTTATTTTCGTGAGGTCGCTGTAAAACAATATGCGAGGTTGTGCTGTCATTCATTGTAAAAACATTATGCGAAAAAAATGAGGTTCCCACGCGCGAGGTATGAGGTCAGGAAAACGTGAAGAATATGACACCAGTACTACATGCAACGAAACTGAAAATAGATTTCAAAAAATTATCATTGGGAACAGTGACTCGTCATCCTTACTTGTTGTAACGAAAAACGTCAAACAAATAAAAGCTTTTGAATAGCCTACGGTAAAATTGAATCGTTTTATTCCAATAAAAGGCGTCGCAATTTATATTCTCAATCTCATTACTGATCTTTGTAGTCTGTTCTCTGTTCTATTGATTTGAAACAGGTTGTGCTGTCATTCATTGTAAAAACATTATGCGAAAAAAATGAGGTGCCCACGCGCAAGGTATGAGGTCAGGAAAACGTGAACAATATGACAATAGCACTACATGCAACGAAACTGAAAATAGATTTCAAAAAATTATCATTGGGAACAGTGACTCGTCATCGTCACTTGTTGTAACGAAAAACGTCAAAAAATAAAAGCTTCTGGATAGCTTACGTTAAAATTGAATCGTTTTATTTCAATAAAAGGCGTCGCAATTTATATTCTCAGTCTCATTACTGATCTTTGTAGTCTGTTCTCTGTTCTATTGATTTGAAACAGGTTGTGCTGTCATCCAGCAAAAACAGAGACCCTTCGCTACGTTAACACGAAGGAAGCGCTGTCG